CTTGTCAGGGTGGCGACTGGCAGTGACTCCTTCTGCCTTCCTGTTCTTTCTTTTCTCCTCTCTGTTAGTCCCACCTATACTTCCTGCCTAGCCACGGGCCAATCAGTGCTTTATTTATTGACCAATCAGAGCAACACATTTGCCACACAGACCATCCCACAGCACTCACACTTACTGGGTGACATCTTAGTGTGTCACTAGCGCCCACATCGTAGGGGTGCTATGAGGAACACCCCAAGAACTGGCACACGGGCAGCACTTGCACATTTTAGCTGTTATTATAAATTATCACCAGTATATCCTTCGATCCTTTCCAAGTTTGACTCTGGTTTCAGAGAGATTTCACGCAGTGTCCCATCTGAGGTTTTCAGTTTTCCCTGCATCCAGTTCCCTTTTGCTCCTATCCATCTTTGGTAGTGCCACCAGACCAGACAGCATAACCAGTCTGAGCTGGTCTCCTGTCACTTTGGTGGGCATTAGTTCTAGTTTCCTTTCTATTAAAGTGCTCAAACACTGTCAGAAAGCCACGGAGGGAGGAAAGGGTTTGTTCCACGTACAGGTCTCAGCCCATAGGGAAGTCAGGGTAGGAACTCAGGCAGGGACTTAAAGCAGAAACCGTGGAGGAATGCTGCCCGCTGCATTGACTTCAGGCTCATGCTCAGCCCGCTTTCATAGGCGCCCAGGCCCACCTGCCTAGGGGTGGTGCCGCCCACAGTGGGCCAAGCTCTTCTGTGTCAATTAGCGATGCAGACAATCCCCACAGACTGTCTGCGGGCCAGTTTGTCAGTTCCCAGGTGGTTTTAGGTTGGGTCAAGTTGACAATAAAAACTAAGACAAGGGGTGACTTTGCTGGGCTCCCCATCACCTCTGGGAGAAAGGCTTGGTCTGAATGAGCCCTGCTGGGCCACCTGCTTGCTCCTGTTACTGCGCTCTCAACCTCCCGGCACACAGAGCTGCTGGGACGTACCGTACCGTTCTGTGTGTGCTCTCCCCTTCATCCGCACGTCCTGCCTGCTCTGACCCTCTGCGACTTGTAGCCTCGACACTCCCCACATGACATCCGCCTCCCTCGTTGGTCCCACGCTCCTCCCCAGCCTCCACAGGGTATAGCGGTCATCGTATTCCTCCTTATAACCCCAGTGTCTAGAACCTGTACCTAGCAAATAACTCCGTGTGCTGGATAGTTAAGTGGATGCATAAAGAAGAGTCAAGACTTCATCTTAGGTGGTTGGTTCTCTTGGTCATGCTGTTGTCTTCTCCAGGCAGGAAAAATACTGCTATATTACAAGGACCGGACGAAAGCCATCCTGCTGAGATTCGCCGCCTGGTGCTTCACCCTTGTAAGTAACCCCGTCTTCCCGATCCAGCTGTGTTCTTTTTTGTTTGTTTGTTTTTCGAGACAGGGTCTCTCTGTGTAGCTTTGGTGCCTGTCCTGGATCTCGCTCTGTACACCAGGATGGCCTCGAATTCACAGAGATCCGCCTGGCTCTGTCTCTGGCCCCCACAGAGTGCTGGGCCAACTGTGTTCTTAAGACTGAACACACTTATTTAAGAAGAAATGAAATGCTGAGCAGCCCCTGGCTCAGCATGATGGAGAGCATTTCACTTGAATTACAGCATTCACAGAATAACATCTTTAAAATATCATTCTTATTTTTTTCCTGAGTGTGGAACCCAGGGCCTAGTGCATGCCCAGTACACACTCTACCACTAAGGTATGCTCCTAGTCACAGGGAGGAAGACATCTTCACAACTAAATTCTCAGGCTTCTTCTCTTAGAAAACTGTGTCATATAAATAAATAAGAGCGCTCACCATCCACGCTCCAGTGAAGGCTGCTGGGGGGAACGTGTAAGGGGTGCTCTGCATGGGGACCAGGCAAGGAGTGGGGTTGTAGCTCAGTGGAAGGCAGGCTTAGCATGCGTGACGCCCTGGGTCCCATCCCCAGCACCCCCTAAGACCGGGTGTGGTGGCACATGTCTGTAATCCAGCATGAGGAAGCAGAGGACCCAAGATCACCCTTGGCTACGTAGTGAGTTTGAGGCCAGTCTGGGATATGTGAGACCCTGTCTCAAAGGAGAAAATAAAGGGATAGAGAGATGGTTCAGTGGTTAAGAACACTTGCTGCTCTTCCAGAGGACCTGGGTTCAATTCCCAGTACCTACATGGCGGCTCACAACTATCTGTAATTCCAGTTCCAGGGGTCCAACACCCTTACACAGACATACATGCACGCAAAACACCAATACACATAAAATAAAAAGTAATAAATAAATAAATAATAAATAAATAAATAAATAAATAAATAAATAAATAAATAAATAAATAAAAGAGAGAAATGGATATTTAACTGTGTGGTGGTGCACACCTTTAATCCCAGCACCCAGGAGGCAGAGCCAGGCGGATCTCTGAGTTTGAAGCCAGCCTGGTCTACAGAGAAAGATCCAGGACAGCCAGGGCTACACAGAAAAACCCTGTCTTGAAAAACCAGAGGGGGGCGGGTAGA